CTATGATGAGCAGAATCAATGCTTTTGCATTTGTTGAACAAATGCCTTTCCATCTTCGCTGGCCTTCAGGTCCGTTTCCACACATACCCTTTGAGTAATAATACCCCTTCTGTAGAGGGTAATGCAGCTCTGTAAAAACAGCCAAGCTGGCAAAACTATTCCATTCAGATTTAGTAATCGCTGCTGAGCAGAAACTTGCCTGTGAAATTTCTACTGTAAATAGGGGCAGGTCACATGTAATGCAAGTATTGATTCAATGAAACTTTTTGGCCTGTATGCACAGGTTAGAAAGCATCATTTGGGGGTAAAATGTGTTACTAAACACTTATGCTTACTGCAGCACTGTGGGACATTCCACAGCACTACAGAATTGTTAGGGTTGGAAGGGACCTCTGTGGTATCTCTTAAACATTAAAATACTTTGCATTATTAAAATAGAATCCACTGACAAAACTTTGGCTGTTATACACTTGTCACAATTGGTTTCTTTGGCTTTTGTTTACTTTTATTAAGATAGTTTTCATGTGAAAATATATTTTACAGATACAAATGGTGTTAGATTAAAAATACCCTGTGAAGTATCCTGATGTACAGGAAAAGTAAGTTTTAAGTCTCAAAATATTTTATCTGGATCAAAACACTTTTCACAGTTGCTATCACACAACAATTACCTTTCAGTAATCTCCCTTTGTCTACAGAATGAAGAACTGATGTAGGAACTGTCCTTGATTTCTGAGATAGGACTGTTTCATATTTCACATGTTAGTTTAAAGGAGCAGTAGTTATTTATGTATTTATTTATTTATTTTTGTCCCTACTAAATAAACAGCTCTTTCCTCTTCAAACCTCATGTACCATAGCATAACACTTCCCTCCACTAGTCTTCTTTCTTTCCTCCTTCACTGCTTGTTCATATGCCCTTTTAATTTACTTATTTAATTTTCCTATTTCTGTTCCTACTTCTCATTTCCCCTCTGGTTAATATGAGGAGGGGTTTTCTGAAGTAATGAGGTCCTTCCAGTTAACCAAAATCCAGCTAAAACTACATAGATTTCAATTTTAGTCTTAAAACCTGCATACAGTTATACCAGACCCAAGACTGATGTTTGAAACTAAATAGCTTTAAAAATAAAACAATTTTCATTTTTCATCAAAAGCTTCCAACCTAACAGTTTTAGAACCCTCACATATTGTTTATAGCAGTATTCGGGAATGTATTACCCAGTATAAAAAATTCAGGAAACCAACTCTCTGTTCAAGAGAGCTTAGAAAGAAAGACCAAATCCTGCAATCAATTGATGCAGACAAATGCCATTTCATTAATTTAATAACAGTTTTCAGCAATCTGCTTTCAGGGCTGAATTTTACACAAACAGCATGGAGGAGATTTAGATGCAGAGTGATACAATCTTGGTGTACGTTTTTAAGTGTTTTACTATCCCTACCCTATGCAATCACTCCCTGTGCCCTGCCCTGCTCAGCTTTCTTATCAAAGTATGCATATACTGTAGATATATCCCAGCTATCTATGTGCTAATGTAGCTAAAATTGAGGAATTCAAAAATTGTTATCTATATAGCTGTTAAACTAATTCCACCAGTTTGAAGGAAATAGGCTCTTTGTGGTGCTTTCATGATTTGATAAGAGGACTGTAGATTTCATTCCATCATAATTCAGACATTTTGTATTTCACTCCAGTCCGCACTGAGTTGCTAACAATCATCTGCAATCAAAGCACTTGTGGATGTCTCGTACAACCTTTTACTTCCAGTTTGATTTAATCTGTAATTCAATTTCACATTCAAAGACTTTCCTCAACATACATCTAAGATCCATTGATCCCAAGCTATATAGCAGGTCTATAACTTATGAAGTATAGGCTAGGTCATGATCCACGGCAAGTTCTTATCTATAGTGTCTTTAACCCTGTGGGGATGTCATGCAGAGAGTCACAGAATGAACAAACAAGAGCTCCAGCAAGTAAAGCCCTATATAAGGATAAAAAGCAATTAGAAACTGTTACTTGTCCCTCCCATTTGCTCTTCTCTTGCAATTAAGTGGAATTCGTGCCATATCAAGTGGTACTTGTTTCCTAATTGACTTATCAGGCTCAGTTCTGTACAGTACTGATAATTTCATATTTTTAAGGGCCCAAACCAGTATAAGTGGCAGTCATAGGCTATTACTGTTGCATTTTGCCACTGTTTTTTTTTAGATATACCATAGTTGAAACTAATATGAACCTAAATTCCAGATGATTGTCACTATGCAAACATAAATTCCATTGCCCATGAAAAGCAGAATCAAGGTACACCTGCATGAATAATAGTTTTTCTGTTTGTGATGTAAAAGGGATCTTTACGCTGACAGACATATTGCTAATGGAATGGTGTGTGGTGCATGGGCTGTGATGTACTAGATCTGAAGACCTAAAATGACAACTAAAACCAAGATAAAGTATACTTTGCTCAGGAAATGTCTGCAAGAGTTGACTATATTTTGATTTATTTCACATTAATTTCTAGCTTTATAGGTGTTGGAAATAGAAGACATGTATCGAAATAAATTATTACTAACATTCTCCTGTAAGTTAGAGAATAAAATCTTACCTGACACATGGAAACGACTCTCATCTGAGTTTTTCTGGTACTAGTGCTTCTTATTCAAATGATCAAAACCTCAGGGAGCATCACTGTGATAGAACTGTATTCAGACCAGCCTGTCCAGGTGCAGTAAAAGAAAACATTGAGTAAGATACTGCCATTGTTACATTACTTGTGATAGAGGATTACTGTTCTTGGCTAGCAAAAATCAGTATCTCTTCTGTCTCGATTCACTCAGAGTGACTGGGTCACTCAAGAAACTATCTTGAAATTCTTACTCTACCTGAAAGCTTATTTTGCATAAATCTATACATTCACAACAAGAAATTTGAAAACCACTTTAGAGCTGTTCTCGGTATATGGGCTGAGATACTGTTTGTGGTGACAGGAATACACTGCTACAGTCAAGGACTGACAAGACAAGCAAAGTATGATGCTGCCTATAGCCCATTTCTTGCATAGGGTCACATGCTGGTCAGCAAGGACTGTAGGCCTTTAATTTAGAGTATTTTGGGGGAGGGGGGATTCTTTTGCACTCCTCAAACTTGAAAGCTAAGAATAAACATAACCTGCGCTTGGCATTTAAAATACGATCATCTTTGATGGCTTTTCTGCAAGATTATGGAGCTTGCAATCCAATTGAGATATTTTGGGAGCTGGAAGTATCATATCCAGCTGTGAACCACATAGTTCCTCCATTGTAAGGCACCCAAAATCTTGGATAGCAATCCTTAAACATGTTATGTGAACAGTTCTGCAGTTGCCAGTGCTGGTGTTCACACCAGTTATTGCCTCTCCTTTTCAATCAAACACACAGACAGAAGTGAGAAAAAAAGAGGAAAGATATATTTTTTTTTACAAGTTGCTCAAATAAATAGGAGATTTTCAGGGTGCTGAGAAATTCCGAATGACAGAGATAGACCAGAACCCTGTGGTCAGAGAAAAAGCTGTACTGTCAAAAGTGCAGAGCAAAGCATGAATCAACTTGCAAAAGGACCAGTCTTGTATGGCTTTGTACTTTATGTCAATATATAGTAATGATGTCCGTGCCACATAGATTTCTTTGGGCACACAGAGAATAGTGGCAATGAAGTGTTACTGGTACTGATTTAGACAGTGGTGCATTTACAGATAGCAAAAATAGAGTTATGCAGATCATCCAAAGCATGGCTCAGTAGAGCCTTTACACTTCCAAAACCCAAGGATATACATTAATTTTCCACACCTAATGCACCATGATATCCGTATGTATTTAATTTCTTTGAGATATGTTCCATTCCTTTTTGTTGAAGTAGACAGACTGAGAGTAGGTTTGCGTACACATGTCACAGTGGTACTATGGGCCCAGAATAAGTGTTCCGTGATTATTAGTGCATACACCAGATCTGAGAACAAACGCTAGATGTACTGGCATCACTTGAATTATTTGGGTGTACTATTCTAACATTCCCATGGAAATAGTTTTCTGCTTCCGATTTTATGTTGCTATATCAATTAAAAACTCTTGTCAGTCCAGCACTGAACATTACTACCCTTCAGCCTCAGGTTCTTGTTGATAACTGGTTAATCATGGTGTGGGAAACTTTTCTGTGGTATAATGGTAATTTACAGCAGAGACTCAGAAAGCAGCACTGTCAGAGGTAGTCCCGAGTTGGCACTTGCAGGTGAGTTTAGTACTGAAGAATTAGTGTTTTACCTCAAGACCTTCTGTTCTTATCATATGACTGCAAAAGAAAAAGAGTCTTTATCATAGATCTAAAGTAAAATGATTCACTGCACAGAGTAGCCACCATCTTCCTTTCAGGGCTGTATTTCAAGAGGTTTGTCAGTGAGGCAGACTAGCTGTGTGAGAACAGAAACCTCCACTGGTGAACAGGGAGACTGGCCCTGTACCGTGGAACAGAAAGCTGCAAAATCGGGGGGGGGGGCCCCCCCCCGGAGGGGGGCTTTAATTTTAACTGATGCTTAAACATTCTTTAACTTAGCTGTTTGGGGGTTTTGGTGGGGTTTTTTTTCTCTTTTTTTTTTCTTTTCTTTTGAATACAGAAATTGGACATTTTAGGTTTGCCATAGGCACTAAATCTTTTCTGCTTCATCTGGAAAAGTGTATTTTCTCCCGCTGTGTAATTCCAATTGTTACAAACGGGAGAAGGTGGTGAAGATGTCATGGTGAATTCCCCTAGCCTTTTCCTTATGTATTTTTTGTCCTTCTAGAAGCAAACCCCAAGCAGATACTTACTTGTTCTCCAAGGCAGAGAGGGGTGTCTGGGGGCGGTAGCATTGGGGTGGAACGGGCAGTACAATTTAGCCGCGCTGCCGGGGCAGGGCGTGAGCGGCTCCTTGCCGGAGGGACGCGCGGCCGGGGGTGTGAGCGAGGGGGGGGGCACCTGGCGGGCGGTGGATGCTGCGGTTCTCGGCGTGGGGCTTCCTTGCTCTTCCGTGCTCCAGACAAGGTAGCTGCCGAGCCGTATTAAATGGCTGCCTGCTTTTCGGGGCTGCCGGCTGCTTTACGGGTTGGCTGTTCATCATCTTAGCAGCCCTGCCGCCTCTCGGGCAGCGCCCCCCCGGCTCCGCTCCCCCAGGTGAGGCTTCGTCCCACCGCCTCCCTGCACGCCTCCTCCTCAGCCCTTCCCGGGGAGCAGCCGCCGCTTCTCAGTGCAGCCGGCCCGGGCCCCTCCCGGCTGCTCCTGCTCCCGGGTCAGAGCGCGGCCAGGAGCCAGGGCTGGGGCCGGGCACCTCCTGGCCCCAACGGCAAGAGGCGGCTCCCTCCGCCGGCCGCGGAGCGCAGGCGGTGGGGCAGAGCCCGGAGCTCGGGAGCTCCCCAGCCGCGTGTGAGCAAAACTGAGCAGTGTCAGCGAGGGAGAGAGCTCTCGAGCCCATCCTGCTCCCTGTGCAACAGCCTCACCCTTGTCCCTCCCCTTCCCCCCCGCGTTTGTGAATCCCCCCCGGCACAGCGAGTTGAGTGTTTCTTTTGTTAATTGACACCCCAAGTATTCCAAATCCCTTCCCCGCGCAGCCCGGGCCGGCCGAGGACGTGTGCACGCCCAGATCCGCTCCGCGAAGCAGCACAGATCCGCGGGGCCGAGTGGGTATGTGCGGGAGGAGGAGGAGGTGTAAAAGGAGCTACGAGCACAAAGCAGATTTGCGAGGAATAATTTAGCTCCGGTGGCTGTTGTTTTTCGGGGTTTTGTTTTTTCTTCTCTCTCTCCTTTCTGTCTATTTTTTTTTCTCTCTCTCAGGATTTAAATGTCACTCAAAGCATCCCCAAATCAGCTTTCCGCTCGTCTCCGGCTTACACCGAGGCATTAATTGGATCCTACGTTGCTTTTGAAAGCTTGGGTGCTTTACCCACAAAGGTAAGTGGGTACTGGGTCTGGAAGGTCACTAAGAGCGCAACTGCCTTTCACGGGGGTGTTTTTCTGCCCCCCACCTCCCCCAGCCCCGTGGCTTAGCTCTACCTGAGGAACTTGCACCCTTGCTTAAACACCGGTCGATATCTGGCAGACGCGCCGCCGGGCTGGGCCGGAGCGGGGCCGCGGGGGCTGCGCGCCCGCCCCTCGGGCACCAAGCGCCCCGCTGGAGCCGGCGCCCCCTTAAGCCCCTTCCCCCGAGCCCGGTGCCTCTGTCCCTGGCACAGCGCAGGGCAGCGCGGTGAGGAAGGAAGCAGCCTAATCCCCTCTTGCGAGAAAATATTCGTCATCATTTTTTTCTCCCCCGTGAGAAATACCGTAGGCGCCCATCTCCCCTCCTTCCCCCGCCCGCCAGCGCTGCGAGCGCCGGCTCCTTCGCCCGCACCTCGCCTCGCCTCGGGCGGCTCTTTCCAGGGACCACAAAGTTGAGCTGCCCCTGTTCGCCCCCACCTGCCCCCGGCACCTTGCGCTCGCTGTGCATCCCCCTTTTAACCTGTTCCCCCTCTGTCTCATCCACGTCCGTCCCCTCACCCCCCTTTTAAACTAGGCTGCAAAGCCGCTGTGCCCTGCAACTCCTGAAACTTCTCTTCTTGCTGCGATTTATATTGTATTCTAACAAAAACGACAACAAAAACACACTCGAGCCTCTTGTGGATGACTTTTTATTATTATTATTATTATTATTATTTTAAATAATGCATTTCCTTCTTCCCCTTTAATTTTTTTTTTTTTCTTGGCAAGGAAATTTGCTCCATCTCCAGCAGCAACCACTGCTCCTTTTGATGTTGTGGTACGCCGTGCGCATGCGCTTCACATTAGAATTACTGCACTGGCCAGAATAAGTTGGATCTCTTCTTCTCTTCACTGAAACCCTAAATCATATAATAAACTAAAGGGATGCTGAGAGTCCGGAAAAAGGGTTACTTCGGGATTTGGTCATTCCCTTTAATAATAGCCGTGGTGTGTGCACAGAGGTAAGTGATGAAGGTATCTCTTTTGCTTTACTTTGAATTGCATGTATGCTGCCCCTGAGAGGAATGTGCAGCTTGGGTCTGAGAAATAAGAAATAATAAAACGTTAATCTCTCTTTTTCTGTAGTGTCAATGACCCTAGTAATATGTCACTGGTAAAAGAGACCGTGGATAGACTGCTGAAGGGCTATGACATTCGCTTGAGGCCAGATTTTGGAGGTAATTTGCCTGCTATTGAATAGGAGCGATTACATCTCCGGGCTGGGCACCTTTGGAGTGTGGGGGTTTAAAACGTGTGGTGAGTGCTGTTGCTTTGGGGTGCGCGTGTGTTGCCATTTTCTTAAGCTGATCCAAAGTTAAGCCCCTTGTTACTCAATTTTCTCAGCCCAGGATGCTCTTAATAGGATCACTTAAATCTCTGGCATATTTGCAATCGGTCCCTCATTTTGTGTGTGTGCTGACACTTCATTAACCTGTAATTAAACCCATGGTTAACTGGGTTTATCGAGATTCAAATCTCTTAAGTTTACCCAGCGCTTGCTGCTCTCAGCCTAATGTGCCTGTGATCACAGTTACTATTTTTGAGTACAAGATGTGCTGCTAACTGATACAAAAATGTCATTTAACCCCCTGCGTGCTCCTACTTAGAACTACTTTGTTTATTGTGAACGTGTTGGCTGTGGGTGTCCCCTCACCACCCCGCCGCCCCCCTCCGGGGCATCCCCCTCCCCGGGAGCTCGCTGGCCGCCGTACCCCGGGCTACCCCCTCTGCCGAGGCTGGGGGTGATGAGGACCCGGGTGGCAGCCGCGGAGGCCGGGGCCGGGCTCCACGGCGGGGTTCGGGCGGGGGGGGGGGGAGGGATGTCCCCACGCTGCGGGGTTTGATGGGGGGGGGTCCCAACGCCGTGGGCCCGGGAGCCGCGGGCAGCACGTGTGAGCGTTACATAAAGCCCGGCCCCGCTGGAGGGGGGCGCGATCCCGGTGCCGCTGCTTGGTGGGCGCCTGCTGCGGGGCGGGCGGGGAGCGTGCGGTGGGGGAGCGTTCTCCTTTCCCACTGACTTTGTGGGCTCGTTCAAACGCTGTTTCGTTTGTACGCTGTGAACTCCGGTAAGAACGAGTTAAGTTCTCGGGAGATCACATTGCGGACCGTCTCGTTGGTTTGCAGGTCCCCCGGTGGCTGTGGGTATGAACATAGACATCGCCAGCATAGACATGGTCTCGGAAGTCAATATGGTGAGTCTTCAGGGCTGGGGCTGGTGGCTCTCTTAAGGGGGCGGCTGTTGCTTCCCCCCCACCCCTGCCAAGGCAGAGCGGTGCCCGCGGGCTTGCGGGGACCCGGCGCGGCCTCGTGCCCGGGGTGGAGCACGCCGCCTCCCGCGGGGTCGGCAGCGGCCAGCGGGACGGAGAAGGGTCCAGGCTCCGCCTCGCCGGCGCTGGGGCCGGGGCGGCGGGAGCCGTGGGACCGGGTCCTGCGGCGGCGCTCCCGAGGCTCGGCCCGCTTTGCCGCGAGCAACGGCGCCCCCTGCCGGCCGCGCGCCAGCACAGCATGCCGCCGCTAGCCGGGAGCGCGTCCGCGCGGAGGGGCCGCGTCCGCGCAGCGGGGCCGCGGGGACACGGAGACGAGGTGTCGGCGGCCGCCCCGGGTCTGCGCCGTTATTGGTTTCGGTTTCTGTTGTGATATTAAACAAGAATTTGCAGTTTTGTCTTAGCAGTGCACTTACAATTAAAAAAAAAAAAAGTTGGGTTTTTTTTGTAACTTAAATACTATTTTGGATGGTTGTGACAGAGTTAATGACTTAAGAAGTTTTAATTATTCAGTATGTTTGTTTCTCTTAAGTGGTTTGCACTGGCTGTGCTCAAATGCTGAACTTGTTCATAGTGTAATAACAATGCTTTCTATGTTTCACTCTCGTTACCTGGGAGACTAATGAAGTGTGGACAGAATTGGAGAAGTCTCAGATCTGTGCTGTAGAAGAAGCTGTTCCTGGCTTACACTAAACTTTCTAACATTTCCTTTTTTTTTTTTTAATTTTTTTTTTTTAATTATTTACTTGGAGATGTTTGGGATCAAGTTTTGAAGTTTTTCTCTTGGTTAAGGACACAGGATTTGGCCTGGTGTTCTAAGGCTTTAAACAAGAAGGACAAAATAAAGACTCTGAAACATGGCAGCAGCAAGTGATAAAAAATAAATGTGGTTTTGTGAAATATTTGTTACTATTGATAGAAGCTTGTTGCTTGAAGCAGACTCTGTTATTCATGAACACGTTGTAAGGAAGCATCTTTTAAATACAAATGCGGTTCTAAGGATATTTTTGAATATAATATTTTGAAAGTTATTGGTTGTATTAATATTACTTGACTGCTAAAATATTTTGTTAAATTCCTCAGTGGCATCTTTGGGTTCTCAGACATGTTGCACTGAATCAGCTGGCAAACATCTGGTCTCAAACTGGATGCACTGTATGAAATACAAGAGTTTTCTCATAATGTAAAGTGTAGCCTTTGGCCTGATTTGAGGGTGACATTACTAGTGGTTGTGTTGTGAGACTGGGAGGTCTTGGTGAGAAAGCTTGGTACTTCTCTTCTTCAAGATACCAGGAAAATACTGGATAATTTTACCTTGAGCAAAATTACTTGCAAAATATTTCCAAGTGGCTACAGTGGTCTTCCAGACTGTTTTGCCAATCTTCTAATTTAGTTATCTACCTTCAGGAGCTTTAAGTGCAAAGAAAAAAAGATGGCATTGTATTTTAAACCACTTGCTTTTCATTAAAAGAGCTATGGGTAGCAGAGATAAGGGTGCATTGGGTTATTTCTTAGACAGCCATGAGCAGCATGGGAATGGTGACGGTTTTCTTGCTGGATTGATGGAATTGCCATCTACTAGGTCAGTGTTATATCCTCACATGTCTTTGAAACTAGAAGGTGGTGCCAAATGTTTTCTTCTCTTGTGAAAAGATTGTGAAGATACTTGTGAGTCTTTTCTTCTTTTAATGATTTCTAGAATGTTGGTCTCCAATTAAAGGTGAGAGTGCGCCAAAATACTGTGATCTGACACTTGCAAACTTACTAAAGAAAACCACAACAGTGTATTATATTTAGCGTTCTGTAGTCAGTGTATTGTGTTTCTGCAATGGAATGCAACCTTTGCATGAAAGGTCTTTTCAGGCTATCTTCAGAACTCCAGGGGGAGCGAGGAGGAAATGTATAGGCAATTTTGTCCCACGCATTTGGCTAAAGCGTTTCAGCTGTGGGCTTATTTTACTCTTAAGCTACCTATTTCTGAAAACCAGGCATTAATTTTACATAGGTTTTGGTGGTTTGGGTTTTTTGGGTTCTTTTTTTTTTTTTTTTTTTGTTTTGTGTGTGGTTTGTTGTTTTTTTTTGAACTTCTAGTTTCAGAAGAGATTCCAAAGCAGGTTTTCCTCCATCTGCTTGTCTGCAAAATGTAACAGTTACAGTTTTACAATGGTCTGTATAGCCTAACAAGTACTAATATACCCTGATAGGTCTGAAAGAAATGAGACATGTATATCAGGTATTTTGTTGTCTACTTGCAAGGTCTTGACTTTGCCTTGCAAAGTCATCAGAATTTGGGGTCGAAACCAGGAGGAATGCCATGGAATACCAGGTGATGCAAAGCTTTCTGAGATAATAAGAGACACAGAAAGAATGCTTTGAGTTTATGGACCTACTTTTCTGAGCCATGGGCTTGCTGTTGCTCTGCCTGTAGTCATGGCAAACACCACTGACTTGAGATGAAGGCAAATCGTTGTCTGGGATAATGTATTAACATTAGTGAGATCACATCTTGCCTTGAGAGGAAGGCTAAATAATCATAGTTATTTGGCTTCCAATTGTTTTTGCTAACTCCAGTGTTAAAAAACTTGAATGTTTTCATCCTTGCATTTCTCTTCCAGCCTTGGCATATTCCAGCTGCCATATACATTTTGTGCTGCTCTGCAGGCAGAAGGCTTGTCTCCAGTGTCATGAAGTAAATCATAAACATTTTACTTTGCTGAACAGGAGAATTTAGATTTGCTGTTATAGAAAATGAATATGTGTTTAGGATGCTCAATAATATTATTGTTGACTTTGTATTCTTAAAGAGGTGATAGGTATTTCATGTCATGACAAACTCATAGTGTAAGAGGCTTTACAACTGCCTTCCAAATAAGTTGAAGCTGTAAGATGTTTAACATTTTGTAGTCAGAAACTTGAACTATCATATATCTGAGTTTTCAAAAATGATTTCTAAGTACTGGTACTTGTGAATATAATTGTTTTCAGCTCTGGGGAGTGCACTGATTGCCCCTAAGAAAAGTGAGAGCTTCAGGCACATGTAGCTGCTTACAAGTGTCATGACTGGACTTATTTTTTTTGTATTTTGCAAAATAAAAATATCCACGTGGTAATAATTTTATGCAGTACAATAATGACTATGGCTAATTTCACTTATCTCTCTGGACCAGGCCCTGCAGTAGTATTGATTGTATGCTTTATGCTAGTGATACTGTAGATTTTCTTAAGGTTTCCCTTATTCAGATAACAATGGAAAGCAAAACATGGAGGGGCATGAAAGCTACTGAAATGGTTTTACTGGGCTAATGAATTTGGTCTTACATAAGATTAGCTGTATTGCAGCAAGTCTAATGCAATGTTCTTAAGATAATTTTCAGGTGTTTCTTACTGTACTTGAATTTTATTCTTAACATCTTTTTCCTTAATACTTAGTATTAAGGAAATAATTTATTGAAAAAATTATACTTTCAGAGGGCTTCATAGTTTCTTTTTTCCTTTTTTCATCCCTCCCCCCCCCAGTAACTACTGTTACCTGGGCTGTCACGTTTCCACATTGTCATCTCCTTATTTAATTATTGAAGTAGAACCCTTGACAGCACAGTAGCTTAGACTGTTCTCCATTCTTATTTTCTCCCCTTTCCTCCCAGCAGTTCCCTCCCTCTGTTTTAAAAAACTGGTCCAGGTTCATTGAGAAAAACACAAGTACATTTTCTTCCCTAGACATCACTGAAGATTCTGCTTAACATGTTGTGCATTTCATCTATCTAGATAAGACATGAGGATTTCTACGGATAATGTTGGTCATGTGGTGACTTTCAGCATCTTGGCTTATTCCCTACTAAATAGGTCAACACTTTTTCTTTGCTTTATTTATTTATTTATTTATTTATTTATTTTCTCTTTTACCCCCTCTTGGTCTGTGGCTATTCTGGGATTATAGCACAGGATGTCTTGAAAAGAGAGAAAAATGTTCTGTGATTGTATTTTTTTTTACCCAGAAAATGCACAGTTTTTGAGGTAAAAGGGTTGTATATTTAAATATATGTTACTATTCATACTATGGCTTGTTGAGGGTCTGCAGAGAGGAATTTGAACAGTGTATTTAATTTAAAGTATTTGCTTGCTTATCGTTTTACAGATTTTGGCACATGGACTCAGTATGTGTACATGGAGTTAAACAGATACAATAGATTGGTTTGTCTTAGTGGGAGCCATTAGGGTTGATTGAGTGCATAATCCTTCCATCAAGTGGGAGCTGGAGAAACAGAGGAGCTGTTATCATCTATCAGGGAAAGGTTTACTTGTTAGTGTATGCCAAGTTTTACACAACAGAATGTAGTAACCTCAAAGCTCTAAAAAAATACAGATTTTAATATTGTATTTCATTTCTGTATTTGAGATATGCCAAAATTGCATAAAATAGTGTATAATACAGGTCAGAATATTTTCAATCCAAAAAAGTACAGGCACAGCTATAATTTGCTGATAGACCTCTCTGAGTTTCAGATGCTTTTGATGAGACTCACTACTGGTTTTCTTGAAATCTCTGACGTTTTCTTAAGCTATTTTCAGTATGGGGCATTAACAAAGCTCAAGAGACATGTTTAGATTATGAGAACAACGTAATCTTGTGTGGCTGCCTCTCAAGTTGCAGCAATTATTCCTATGTATGTAAAGGGAAGGGCTTGTGGAGTGGGGCTTAAGTGGTAAGGAAATAGGGCAGAGCTGTTCCAAAGCAGAAAACTCTTCCAAAAAGTTATGGGCAGGGGGGAAGCATGAAACAGGAAAAAGCATCCTATAGACACTGGTACAGAAAGAGGTGTAGAAAATGGTTCCTGTCAACAAGATTTTCTTTTGTCAATCTATTAGAGTTGTACATGTAGCTGTACACAATTCATAGAGAGAATAAGTAGAGGAGAGGACTAAAAATA